CTCACCTACTAGTTAAAGCTACGCTGATATGGTCTCCCTAGACCCTCAGCTTAGGTAGGAGAAGAAAAAATCAGCTTTCATCCTATGCTGCTTATCTTTTGTCGCTTTGTAGTTGTATTTTTAATGGTTATGCAATAGAGATTTTGAAAAGATATGCCAGTATGGGTGGCCGAGATTCACGTTGTCTCTGTGAGCTGAACTTGGTTTACTTATTCCTCCTCCTCCTCCTTGCGTCGTATTTATTCCTCACTGTTGAGGTTAGTGACCACCCTTCTGTGTCACCTTCTCACGCACGATTTTTCTCCGTGTGTTTTTGTCCGTTTACTACTTAATTAAGCTTAGAATTAATTTAGCTAATTTAGACAATTAATTAAGCTAAGTCTAAGTCTGTGGAGGGACTTCGCTTCTCTCTGTATTTTGTACCGTATATTCCATGGGGAGTGCTCTGAAGAATTGTTGAGATGATTCCATCATGTCGTTTTTACCTTCGCACCGCCCGCCACCGGAGCAGAGTTCATCCATACTATCTGGAGCCACTGCGTTCATCCACATCGCGATTCTGTAGATCGTTTTTGCCACGTACCTTCCGGCTTTGGAATGAGCTCCTCTCCACGGTGTTTCCCGAGCGCTATGATATGTCCTTCTTCAAACAGCTTGTGGAGAGTACTTAACAGTAGGCAGCGGCAGCTGGCATTGCTAAAGTCCATGGGCGACGGTAACCACTCACCATCAGGTGGGCCGTATGCTCCTATGCCTGCAAGGGCACTAAAAAAAGGTAATTTTATGATTTTATAGATTACTCAGGAAAATAGTGACCATTCGAATTAAGATTAAGAAAAAAATCGTTAAAGTCTAAAGGTTATAATTATTTTTAACAAACACCAGGTGTTTCATCTTTCGATGCCCACGGGACGGGCTTAAAGTATCTCTGAGAAAAATCCGAAATATTTATATGCGTATCCATTTTAGTCAAGGAGACAGCACTGAAGTTTTCAGGGATTTTTTACCGAAATGATCAACTAATAGTTCGGAACGATATTTGCGGTCGCCTAATATGTGTTTCCAAGAAAACAATTAAGATAATTAAATGCAAAGATCGATAATCATTACGTATTAGCACGTATTATTATTTCATTTTTATTACAAACGCATGATTTTCTTGTATTATTAATTCATAAAGCATTAAAAATACTTTGCAACTATGTATATTGTAACAATTAAGTAACATTATAATATATACATATTATGTATGTTACTGGTGGTAGGACCTTTCGTGAGTCTGCACGGGTAGGTACCACCACTCTGCCTATTTCAGCCGTGATGCGCAGTAATGCGTTTCGGTTTGAAGGGTGGGGTAGCCGTTGTAACTATACTGAGACCTTAGAACTTATCTCTCAAGGTGGGTGACGCATTTACGTTGTAGATGTCTATGGGCTCCAGTAACCACTTAACACCAGGTGGGCTGTGAGCTAGTCCACCCATATAAGCAACTAGCGACCCGCCCTCGCTTCGCTTCGGAAACATCAAACACACATGAAACCAAAAAAAAAAATAAAAAATAAAAAAAGTAGCCTATGTTCATCAGGGACAATGTCGGCTTCTAATGGAAAAAGAATTTTTCAAATCGGTCCAGTAGTTTCGGAGCCTATTCGAAACAAACAAACAAACAAATCTTTCCCCTTTATAATATTAGTATAGATAAAAAAAATTGTATAGCGTTACCCCTTCGACTATTTTGTTGTGCTATCCATTTTTCATCAAACTTTGCCGCAGGTGTTCGAGCGGCAGCCCAAAATTATCTCGACGTTTCATTGACAGTGGGCTCAATTCTAATAATTTAAGTATGAAAACAAAATTTTACGACCGCCAAATAATAAATCGAAAGGGTTAATGAAAATGAGAAAACACTGTTTGTGCATTTTATTGTTTATTATGTATTTAGGCCTTGTTGCGTGTCAAAGGACCTAACAGTATTAGCAGATGATAATATTATTACATATTTGTAGTTAAGGTGTTTTAAATTTAGTAGTCAATGTAAAAAAACAAACTCGCACGCTAATTACAATAATATTAGCTTTTTTCAAGGCATGTTATATTGCATAAATGTTGTTCTTAGATTGCTACTTTTACCGGCTATTTGTTGCTAAAAAATCAATTCCTTTAAAACACCTTCACATAGAAATAATTTATTAAGACTCTGCTTAAAACAAATACTAAACAATTCACTAACAACTATTTTAAAAATCGTGTATAGCATTTCATATCACATTATTTTATTATTTGATGTTTATTTACTTTGTTTAATACCGTCTAAATGATTACAAACATTTTTAAATTACATTATGTTTTCTAAACTACGTTAAGGTGTGTTTTAAAATCGCCATGAAAGTATATAGCGTGTATTCTATTACTTCTGGATGAAGTAGACATTCCATTTCATTCGTTATATATAAATCTGGTTGGCGATTATAAACCACGCCCTACATATAACAATGATGTCAAAATGTCATCGATATAATATTTTAATAGTTATTATTTATTTGAAATTAAGAAAACAACAAATTATCTATATCAACGTTACAATCTAGTGTTCAATTGTTTGATTCTGTGGTGTAATTTATTAATTAACATCTTATACCATTTCAGCTTAAAGCAGTGGATATTTTAACCTTTTCTTATTAAGTTTTTTGGGAATACGAAGACTATTTCAGGTGCAGAATATTCCAAACAGTACAATATCGAAATGACAGAATTACGCACCCTTTTATTTGACATTTAATGAGTGAGTTTGGGCATGTACCTATACCGACTATCATGGTCTCCAGCCAAAAATCTGGGTACAAAATTAATTAACGCATAGTGGTATTAAGGATTAAGTGACTGAAAACAAGAGCTCGTAAAGCAGTAAGATACTTAGTATTTGGTTAGACGACTCAGCTCTGGTCGATCCTGGAGCAAGTAATGCCATATTTAACATTTGCTTAAGAATGATTCCCCTTATGAATTAACCACGTTTTGAATTAAGATTTTTTTGATAATTTATTTAATACTTAACCTAATAGGTGTATGGCTCTAATAAAGAATGGAAAGAAAGGAAATAAAGAATTTTATACACAAATAATGCTCACCTAATATGTGTATATAGCCTGAATTTTATATTCACAGTCTTTAAAATGAAACTAAGTTATGCGCTAGATCGGCTTGCGCAGCTTCGCCACACGTTAATTACACTGATTTAATTTCTCAAAGTCGAGATTTCCCTAAATCACCGTCTCTAATACAATTGATATTTTGACTAGATCCCGGAGTAACAGTATTCACGCTGTGGACTCTAGAAACTCATTACGACTAAATCGGCACGAGTTCTTTTTGTGTGTACACGTCAATATTTTTTTTTTTTTTAAATAATATTACCTTATTTTGTTCATCAACGCTAAATAACGATGAAAATGCACACGGAAGTATGTACTTTAAAGTCGTGGATCTTAAAAATAAATTCAACAAACAATTATATCATCCAGGTACATTAATTTAGAAAATCACTCATTAGTATTTCGTGAATAAACGTAATAAGGCGGTAGCTTTGTTTACTAACTCAGATTAATTAAAAGGTCAGCGTAATTGTTTTTTGTAGATCTTATAACCGAAATGATGGAACTTATTAAATCATGCTCTTTTATATTATCTCTTCTTTTCAAAGGAATAGAGGTGAATCCTCCTTAGCACATCTCATGTAGGTAATTGTAATTATTTGATTAAGCTATTTGATATCTAAGTTATATTTGTTCCAACAATGATGGAACAAATGAGATTTCTTTTTATAATTCAATATCTATCGATTTTTTTTTTTGGTAAATTGATGTTTTCGGTTTGAACAAGCTAGGAAGCAAAATTTGCTAACGTATTTTTTAAAATGATATGAGATTAATCTTCATAAAACACGTATTGTCCATTTCATTATTATTTTAATTCTTATAACTAACGTACATTATATAATTTAAATGCTTCGAATACATATATACGAAAGTACTGTAGAATTTTATGCAAACTAATATATAAAGGACACGAAAATGAGTAAATGAACAATGTCAAAGAAAAAGTTAGACAGACTATTTTTATCCTTGAGTTTCACAATAGAGATAGAGTCACTCGCAATAGAGTTATTATGAAGAGGATTTTTTAAAGGCTCAAATTAATTGTATTTAATTAAATGAAATTCATTCTTAATTCAGAAAACAAAAAGTATCAATAGGGCATCATTATCATTATTTACCCTCGAGATGCGTACATTTTAATGTTTTAGATGCCGTTCTCAGGTTTTTCCAAAGATAGTAATAACTTGAAAAGTAATTTAGTAAATTCTGTGCCATTCGTTTCAAATCGAAAATACAACAAGTGACCAAGAAAATGAGTTAAATTTCGGATAATTAATTAATAAAGAATTGATGAAGTCGGAGCTGAATGAAACTACCAAGACAATGCGAGGACTACACAAAAAACGAAACTACTCTTACAAACAACGTTCAGCAGAACACAATACTATAACTATTCAACTATCACTTATTAACCTATAATTCAGTCACGTTCGTATTAAAAAGCATTTTATACGCGAATATTTCATATGGAAAATTGAACACAATAAACTATTATGTGCTTTAACTATTAACAATACAGCTGCTTACAGTTTGCGAAGGCAAATGTTTGCGATCGTCTATTCATTGAACACAAAGAAATTATATAATTGAGGCCGTCAGCGCAAAAGTGACCTAAGCCCACCATAGATAATGAGGTTTGAATTTACTTTTACACTGCTTCGTAGGTAAAAACAATACGCGCCAAAATACATAATATTTTCGAAGCCATCTGCTACCTATAGGTGATACTAGGGATACACAGAAACAATACGCGCCAAATTGTATTTTTTGAAACCATCTGCTATCTATGGGATACACAGGTTTTGGATCAAAATTTAATATTTTTTTTAAATAAATTGCAATATGAAAAATTGTGGATTACGCCACTTTTGCGCTGACAGCCTCAATTAGGCCCGATGTATGCAAATTCTAGACAATAGATTATATTCAGATGTATATCTTAGTCATTTTAGGAACGAACTTTGATTTTACTACTTATTGTACTTGACATTTTTTCTGTCCATGTAAATTCTTAAGTCGTTTATTGTCAAAACAAGTACAAATTTTTTGTTTTTTTTTCGTGTAGCTAATACCAGAGATACTCTCAAGCCACTATCTCCAAAGTACAGTTCTACCAGATTGTTTTGAAGAACATTGATAAAAATCCATTATAGATAAATACATTCTAAACTATTTTGTTTCCGCTAATTTTATGTGTAATGCTCCTTCAAAAAAACATTCAATAAAAATTTATACAATATATGTATTTAATAAGCTAAGTTAAACTTCGCAATCGTTTACTGCATACGAGATCTTCACATTCATTTTTTTTTTGTCCATTGCGTCCCAAACCTTACTTACAATAATTACGTAACAAGTATCTCATTTAATATTTACTAATTAGTAAAAAATGTCTACGTTTCCACGATTACATCATAAGGCTTCTTCATAATAAACTCCTACGTTGATCTGTAACAACACATAGTTTTGGTTTAGCGAGAAACGAATTAAAGCCGCAATCCATTTCGGGAGTAAATTTTGTGGATATCGGTACCAAAATAAGGTCAGGTTTAGATTTTCGATTTGTTATCGAGATTGCTCTAATAATTATGACGCGAATTATTGTAGTATAGCGAATATTATTTCTTAATGTTTATAATATTCGATATCGGTCGGTTTAAAATAAAAGAAATAACGTGTTGCTGACACAATCCTGAACTTTATCAATCATATAGTTTAATATATATTTTTAATGATAGAATGATAAAATATAATAATAAAAATCATGACCAGTATTCTATTATTACAGCCCACGGTAAGATTATCTGCAAGCGAATTGTTTAATTCATTAAAGTTTTGATTATTATTGCTAAATTATTTATGATGATTATATGTATGTCATGTTGGGTGAGTGGCCATAATCACCACGCTTGGCATGAGGATTGGCGATCACGACCACAGTGTGGTGTTTTAAGAGAACGCACGGAGTACGCTACTGCCCATTACTGGTGGAGGAGGAGGGTTATTGCTGTGGCATATACTAACTTAGCGCTTTAAAGAATTAAACATATTGGTTTTTGAATTCGACTTTTGTAGCAGCTTAAAGTTTGTCAACAATAAAAAATAGGCAAATATACTTACATCATGTCAGTGCTTATATTAAACAATGTGTACGGGACATCCGTCCTTTGCTGTGTCGTTGTCCATTGGTGGCGAGATCACGACATACGTATCACGGCAGCCCGAGGGGAATTCGTCGTCGCCCGCAAACAATGGGGGAGGGGGGATGACGTCATCATCAACGTCGTCTTCTGTGGCTTCCTGGCGCTTCCTTCCCGGCATGTAGTTCATCACACACGTCACAGCGATCAGGAACAGAAAGAATATAAACACGACGTCGAACATTATTAAAAAGTTTAGCATTACTAGTTGCATCACGTCACTTTACCATCTGATCACATTCTGTGTCAGTCGGACAATCACAGTTCACTTCGGGTGGATCTTTAAACATTTTAAATCATTATTGACGGTGACGGTGACACGGTGACGGTAGCTATATCTGAAACAATGAAACATTATTTTAAGCAAACGTGTATATTACATGCCTTAGGGTTAAACTTGATTTTTAGTGCCATTAACATATATTACTAAAGTACCCATTACTTTTATTTTGTAATCATTCTTGAACTTAATGAATCAAAATTATTCTCTCATTACCAATAAAATATTTGTATACTTTGCATAGTAGGCCATAAATTAAATAGTTTAAGTTATTTTCAATGTTAAATGTTTGTGATGTGGCAGTACTTTTTTAAATAAATAAATAAATAGAGCAGTATGCAGTGCACTTGACTCATTGTGACGTATAGTAAGCATTTGGAAACATCGAAGGGGACAGTTTATTCCAGGCCTTCAAAGTATTCCTCGCGAAATGGGCGAACCGTGACTGAGGGCGTCTCACATTCCGGTTGACGCAAATGCTCACCGGCCATGGGTGTTTCGGCCGATACCTGCATCGCATCGCCCGAAGGGAACCGACGATGGAGTGTCACCACTGTGACTGTGACGAGGACACGGTCTAGCACACGCTCACTCATTGCCCCGCATGGCCGGGGCAGCGCCGTGTCTTCGTTTCGCAAATAGGACCGGACTTGTCGCTGCCGACCGACGTGCCTACGATGCTCGGCTGCGACAAGTACACCATCTCGCAGAAGGAGGAAGCGGAACGAGAGAGGGAGAGCTCATCCCTCTCCGCACCTATCCGTCGCCGCTAAGCCGGAGGCCGGAGAAGGACTTTTGCCCGACTACGGACCCTGTAGGAAGCGACCTTCCACCGGTGAAGGCCACGGGGCGACCTGAGGTGGTGAGACCACGCGGCGTGCTGTCTGTGCTTTAGAGTGTTGCGTGGCAGCAGTACCACGGAACTGTTGTATAAGGGCAACCGATTGGCGGTGTATCGCGTTCCGACCTGGCAGGCTGGTTCTGGTCCAGCGGGGTATTCCGGAACACCAGCGGCACCGCCTAGGGCGGCCTTCCAGGCTGCCGTACCGAGACGGCCGACGTAGAGTCGTTGACTATCGCCTCGACGACCCGTCGGTCAGGCGTCCTAGGGGGTGGCGCCGCGAGTCTGCTTGTTGTGTTGACTGTGGGAGCTCCCTATTCTCCCTGGGTTCTGACCTTGGGCGGAGATCGAATGTCGAGTGAGAGAGTGCAAGGTGAGTCGTTTGGTGGGTAAGGCCCTAAACACCCTTGGGCCCGCGTTCTGCTCTGAACATCTGCAAACCATCAAGTCCTACATATCATACGCGCGGGGACGTCCTAGGAGGTTCGGGCCCCGGCCCCCGGCCCAAAAAAAAAGGTCTTAAGTATATACATTAGCCCTTTATTCAGTTTTCGTGATTCGTAGACATAATTAAAATTACTTTTCAATACTTTATAGTTAGTAGAAAACTGTAAAGTATTTGAAACGTCGAAAATAATGTAAAGGAAGTAAAAAACACGAGATTCCACCGTGAATTTCAGTAAAGTTAAAACCGTTTTAATTGTGTGTAAAATCATTTACCAAAATCCTAGCCTACTACCATTAGGAAAACGAAGTCTCAAGAAACTTTAATATTAAGCACAATATAGATATTCTGACATTTAAACACAAAAGAAACGCGTATAAAAACTTCGCTTGACAAGAACTCCGACAGAACTTGCCGAAGTTCACAAATTTTATTTGGCTGCAGATTGAAGAGCGAATGTTTGTCTTTGGTAGAAGATATAAATTCCGTAAAAGGGGACGAATTTTATCTGAGGATTCGTAGGTTTGTTTTTGAAATGTTATTAATATGATATTTGAGGTTTTTATTATTTTATGAAAACATGTAACAAACATTGTAGCTACAATCACATTAAAACAGGCAACGACTCTAAATATTTTCATTCGCATTTCAGCAATATTTTCCTAATTCCCAAGGACAATTCCTATAGAAACGCGATATTAATGTAAATTGATCACGAAATTGTTAAAATAATAAAATTTCAGGGATAATTTTCTGAACGAAAGCAACTAAAATTTTGTCTTGAGATATAATTGCGAGGACAGACCTTGGTTAAGAATCCGCCAAGTCTCGTTTTGTCCAAAGCAATAATCTTAAAACTCGGCAGATGACTTTTATACCCGAATTATTCCAATGTAATGAGGCTCAGGCTGAAATCTTTGAAAATTTGGATTTTAATTTCTCAATAAAAATAATAGTTATAAAGCCCTTTATTTCTAAAGTATTTGTTTAGAACGTAATTAAATATAATTTCACTAGTTTTTTTGTCGATCCTTTTCATATTTATTTTCCTTTGATTTTTTTCTCATCTTTCAGTTTGATTATCTAGTTCAATTCGGCATTTCCTGGATTTCATCAGTGCAGTAATTACATTTTTTGTAATATCCATTTCCTTCATATAAAAATGGAGAGTGTTTGAAAAAAAATCCAACATGAAACATATTACTATTTTCGTCGAATGGCTTAGTGGATATAAAAATGTTATTAAATAGGTACAACAAATCATTATACACATAACAAAAAAAAAATCGGTTTCATTGACTCATCACAAGAATAATATAATCATAGTATTTTGTTTATCATATAAGCCATAACAATTTATCATTTATTCTAATTGCATACTTATTTTAACATAAGAAAATTATATTTTAATAGGTACTTGTTCTACCGATTCCTTGTAACATAAACTTTAATGTATATGTTAAAATTTAATTAAGAAATGAAAAAAATACAACCGAAAAATACAAAGCAATAATCGGCGGAACGAAAAACGTGTATCTTATTATTAAACTTAAGGTTTAGCCGACTTAACCTAATAGGTGTATGGCTCTAATAAAGAATAAAAAAAAAAAAAACTTAAGGTCGCAAACAAAAATGAAAATAACGATAATGAGGCGATATGAATTCGTTTTAGATATTAATTTTCAGGTTTCAATTATAAATTCAATTGAATATATTTTTAAGCTCAGATACAAAATAGCTGCTTCCAGAAATCTCCTAATAATTGGTTTTTATAGGTTAAACTTTCTACTTGACTATGTACTGCGTCATCTATAATCTAATGGTTTTCGTATGTAGAATTCTTCCACCAGAAAATTGCCTTTGGTACTTCGGAACCAATATCAAGCAGCGTTATCGATCGTGAAGCGAACCGTGGGAATTATTGGGAGCAGTTCAGTTTAGTAAGGGGAAGTCCTTTTGATCCAATAGTTGGTTTGATTCAAACATTCAAAACAGTATCTTGCTTTAAGAGTCGTAATTGTGATAGCTGACCTTCATACGTTCTTTGGCACAGATAGGCGATGAGCCTTTTGGAATGCCGGACCGGTGGTCGTCGGCGCCACGACCACCAGCCCTCTCGGTCGGCAGGCTATCCGGAGCCCATCTAGTTGGCGCCGGTTAGAATGAGTTATCTTACGGAATACCCCGCTGGGCCAGAACCAGCGTGGGTTGAGGATAGCGATGAGCTTAGGGGAACTGTACCATCAACCTTAAAGCATAAGCGATCATTTCAGTAGAATTACAGTTATCGCAGCATCTCAACCAGAACTCAGACGTACTTCGCGATTTAGATTTTATATTTATTTAGAGTATTTTTATTACATTTCGTCATCATTTAATTATATTTTGAAGCAAAAAAAAGCTACGGTCTATTTTCAAAAACAAAAAACAGAAAATCGGTTGAGCTGTTTTGTTTTATGCCTATTCATCTGTAAATTTGAACCCCAAAGCGGACGAACTCATCAACCACCAGCCAGTGTTAAGGGGTTACCGGAACCAACTATTATCACATTGTGAATTTTGTCATCCACCCGATAGCCGATACCACCAAACATGAAGTCGAAAGGTCAAAGAAGTCGTATAGGAGCTGTATCACAATTGAAATCAGAACTTTAGTTAATTTCGCCGCAGATTACAATGTTTCTAGTTTCCTAAAACTAAGAATATTTGGCTTTTACCTCGTATATTCCACTTCCGAGTTATTTAACTAACAAACTACTCATAAGTTGTATGTATACATCATAATTTGTACTTTTTGGAAGTCCAGAGCATCCGCATTAACCTTTCGCCGGATTGAAATTGAATTAATTATAGCTCATTTAACAACTATGCTCATATTGTACTCATACTGAGAATGTTTCATGGAAAATTGTAAAAGTTTGCTATAACATAGACTGTTATTTGATATATAGGTACCTATATACAAAACTAATAAAAAATCCAAAAAAATCATATCTTTATATTAATATTATAGTCAAAACTGTTATTTGTGACTACGAAAAAACTACACCACTTCAAACTCCACATTAAAATACACGGAAGATTAATCAGCATTACTTATAATTTCTACGATTGATTCTTATTATATTTGAGAGGCACAGAAATTACTACAATTCCTGCTTTTAAAAGAACCATTTTCTCTTTTTCTACTCCATATGAATTTATAATATAAGAACTCATTAAAAATTTACTGCTGCATTTCTAAGCTCAACAAGAGTGTACACACACAAGAGTTTGCGAGTACTAAGGGGTTATTTACACAAGAGGAGTTTCTCGAATACGAATAATATCGAATGCGACTGAGTCATACGAGTGAACTTCGTTTAATTGTGGTCTTCAACATTTGATACAACCATAACTTTTTTTAGTAACTGGGTAATTATTAAAAGTTATCGATAACGTTTGTTTATGTTTAGGTACAACATTATTTCTGGATATTCCAGTTGGCTGTTATAGCGAATGCTCAGAAGCGTATATGCTGCAAAAAATTACACATATATTATATAGTAGTATGTTAGGGTTTTATTAAGAGTTATACTCCAACCAGACTAGCAGTGACATCCTGAAGATACCCGAATGACGGGACGTAGAGGTGTTCGTCCAACGACGCTGGCCTCTGCGGTACCTAGGTCCGTCAGGTCACTGCGGTTCCGCTAGTGCTCCGGGATAGCCCACTGGGTCAGAACCAGCCTGCCGGGTCAGAAGGCAATACACCGCTGACCGTTCGCGACTC